CAATGTTCATACTATCCATCCTAAATAGTATGTGAGATTAGAATAAGTGTGTCCCAAAGCATATTATGTAGAAAAGAGTATGCCAAAAGTCCCCGGATGGTCTACTATTTCAGGCCGATTTTTGAAGTGTGGATCCGTGCATGTTCCAATTTTTAATGGCTAAAATGGCCCACAATCCATTGCGCTTTGGCGAAGGATTCGGTACAGAACTACAAACACGAATAAAACGCGTTAGAAAAACTACAAACGTGGCGGATGCGCGCGATCGACGGTTAGGTAGAGAGGTTTACAAAAAGGGGTTTGAGTTTCTAATAATCAACATTTAACCTGGTAAAAAATTATTTATTGTTATCCGTGTTATATTTCATATGCAACAGCAATGTGAACTGTTATAAACGTCCATTTGGTCGTTAACTTTTAAATGCATCATTAAGCAGAAAATATGAGCAGAGTTCTCCGCATGAAAGACCCGCGACTGGCAGATCAACGAGCTACTTCTTTTCTCTCCAGTATGGTAGAAAGTTAAATTAAATTAAATGTGGAGGATGTTAACAGTGACAACATGATTGACAGGCCAGTTTACCGTGACATGGTGCGTATAACAGGTGCGACAGATGATAGTATGTCCCAAAGCTTGCCTGCTCTTCTACTACACACTCAAAAGTGTACTTTTTCTTCACCAAAAGTGTACATACTTTAAGGGCGTAGTATAAGTAGGCACACTGAGACGCAGCACATGGTTAATTTTCGTAAGGGATCCTGATGTTTGAAATTAAACTAACACTACATTGCCCTCTTCTGGTGGCATATGTGAAACGCTCTGCAATAACCCTGATTTTAATGTTAATTTGAGGTCTGCTACTGTCCGTTTGTGGCATATAATAAGAGAGCAGTAAACTTAAATATTATAGATAAAAACAATAACCGAACCTTTGAAAGATATTAATGATGTACACTGACATGAGATCATAATAGAACACTTGAAAAAGAAATGACATTAAACCAAGCTGTTTATTTAAGTGGCTTTTATAATGTCAACACACTGTATGTTCAGACGTACAATAATAAAACTGCAATATTGATGTAAAATTGTGTGACAAATCATATAAAAATAAACCATTGATCTACACATCAGTTTATCATGCAAAACATCTGTTCACGAAATGTCATGACGCATCAGAAGATTGTCCAAAAGGCATTTCATAGGTCACAAGCAATCATGTCTTCACAAACACTGTACCTGGCATAAAAGATAAATTCTTGATTGTCTTCAACACAGGAAAAGGGTGTCGTTGAATTAAACAGTTGCATGGCAACAAACCAAAATGAGAATGAACATGACATACAGCTGCTTACTAAAATTATTTGTTTAATCTCTGTTTCTGTGAAATTGTAAGAGATTAAACAAGCTACAAACTCAGAGTGAGAATAAAGTTAACAAACATCAAATGAAAGCTGAAAATCGCAAGCACATACAGTATTAACATGAGACAAATATAAAGAACTTCATTCTATCAGAGTCGCAGAGTGACACTGACCTCTAGAGGAATTTTTAGGCATTACATTCTATAGGTAGTGAGGAGTTTATTGCAGAAAAAGTTCTGCGTCAGTTTTAGGACAGATTTCACATATGCTTTGCCAAACAGTGATGTGAAAAATTGACGACTCGTTTAGACAAATAAAATGTTATCCTGACGGTTTAAAATATTAATGTATGCTCTGGGTTTAGGCACGTATAGAATATAAAAATCACAAGAATGTTTTCTGGTTGCCTGAATTTGCTGTATAAGGACTGTAGGTAGGAAGGCAAAAAAGGCACATCTGAATCCAATGATTGTGTCACATCCTATCATCTTAGATTTCTTAATCGATATATCCCACTATTCTATCTATGTATGTGATTCCATGACAGTTGAGAAAAAAAAAATTCATCTGAAAGTTAGCAGTCAGTTTGTGTATAAATGTAGGTTTCTGCCCAATTTTGACAGCTTTTGACTTAAAGGGATTCAATTATTTTTTCCTCGTAATTCACGCACCCTCAAATTGTTCCAAACCTGGATGAGTTTTCTTCTGCCGAACACAAAATGAGTAAATGATGATAAAATGACATTTTTGGGTGAACTATCTCTTTAATTCCTAGCAAGAAATAAGTACTAAGATGTTTAGCAAGAAATAAATACTAAGATGCTTGGTTAGCACCAAAGTTCTTGCTATTTTGTTGCAGCTACACCGTTGCCACTTCAAAAGCCTGTCCCTTAGAAACACAAATGTTGCCTGAGAAGTCACTGGCTTACAGCGAACGCAGCCCTGGTGTGTCTCGTGTATTGAAATGATTTCAATTAACAGAAGAATGTCACAGAACACATTCTCTCCCACGTGTACAAATGCCTGACTTCATAATAAAATGCAGGCACATATGGTGACCATAATTAAAGCAACATTTTTTTCATATTAAGGCATCAGTGATTGATATTTGCAAAACTATTCCCTTAATTTGGGAACTTCGGCTATAGGGTTGGATTTCAATGCGATAATAATGCAATTTAACTGATTCCAAAATGTAATGACGGGACAGAGACCAAGTAATTCTAAAGACTTCCAGGAAGTCGTCAATAAATGAAAAAGTAGACAAAACTGATGATAAACCCACAGCTCTGTCGAAAATAATCGTGAAAGGGCATGATTTCAAAGTTCTGGTTGGAAAAAGGACATTTTAAAGTCCGCGTGAACCGGAAGTTGCTGCCGACTTTATTTCAGTGTAGTGACGTATTTCCAGCTTAAACTGAATATTGAATAGAGGGCATGGTTTTATTTTTGCGCTCCTCCTCTCTGTCTCTCACTCATAGCAATCTAACGGTTGGAGGGGTGTGTTTAAAAGGATATTCTGCCCAAGCCGTCAAACTGACGTCATCAGAAAAGGAATGCCATTCCAGAGCGGAAGTAATGTTCCGATTTTGATTAAAGATTACGAAGACTAACTAACGGATTAACTTGCACGGATTAATTGTTCACATCATTACTAGCAATGTGCGCTAGTAAAGTAAATAAAGTCCATTTTGATTTCATGCGGACTTTAAGGCCACGTTTAGTCATACTAAGTCGAAAAAAAGTGGCATGAACTTCACAGAGAATATGTGAATATACAAGTTTCTTTTAAAGGGGTAGTTCACCCAAAAATGAAAATTCTGTCATTAATTACTCACTCTCATGTTGTTCCAAACCCGTAAGACCTTCATATCGGAACACAAATTAAGATATTTTTGATGAAATCCGAGAGCTTTCTGACCCTCCATAGACAGCAATGCAACTGACATGCTCAAGGGCCAGAAAGGTAGTAAGGACATTGTTAAAATAGTCCATGTGACATCAGTGGTGTAGTTCCCTTGCTGTCTATGCAGGGTCAGAAAGCTCTCAGATTTCATCAAAAATATCTTAATTTGTGTTCCGAAGATAAATGAAGGTCTTACGGGTTTGGAACGACATGGGGGAGAGTAATTCATGACAGAATTGTCATTTTTGGGTGAACTATCCCTTTAAGACACATTTATAAAACAACATTAAAATATAAACTTTCGCATTTTTTTCAGGCTATTACATATTTACAAGGAAGGAAAAAACATTAAAATATCAATAATTCAATAGATCAATATACAGGACAAAACATGTATTCACAAATGGGCAGTAATGATGGATTCACTGTATATCAGTCTGTTAGTGTCAGCCAGCAGCGCCGCCTGACTCGGGTCTATTTGCATGACCTTCTGTGCCATATGTCCAAACACTGGCATTGTGCCGCCTGGCAATGCTGTAATGGGCGTCAGAGTGACACAATGAGAAAGCAAAGGCGTATTGGCGTCATGATTGGAGCCTGTGGAGGGGACGCTGGTCACGTGACCCGTGCTTGTTGAGCCGCTGGCGCTGCTGGGCGACCGGCTCTTCGGAGGAGGGCAGTGCTGCACCACCTGTGGAGGGCCCTGAGTTGCAGCGAAATGGGCAGCAGGGAAGGCAGCATAGCCTGTTGGGATAGGGTATCCGTTTACAGGTATAAAACGCTGGTTTTGAGGCATCGGTGCTGCCATGAAGCCTGCGATTTGTCCCGGTGGGAGGCTCTGTGGAGCTCCGTAGATGTATCCGGCGTAGCGCGGGCTGCTGAGGTTGCTGACGGGGCTGGCGCTCAGAGAGGTAGTCTGGGTGGTGGCGTTGCCTCCGGATGGTGTGCTGGAGCTGGCGTGAGAGGACAGACCCTCCCAAGCACGTAGTCGGGCATGGATGTCTTTGAATCTCGGCCGTCGAGCGGGTCCCTCCTGCCAGCACTCGGTCATCAGCGCGTACACGCGAGGAGGGCAATCCTCTGGGCAGGGCAGCAGCTGCCTCTTCCGCACCATCTCCATCACTTCCTGGTTGCTGAAACCGTAATAGGGCTGCAGGCCAAAGCTGAAGATCTCCCACAGAACCACACCAAACGCCCAAATGTCAGAGTCTGTTGTGTACTTCCCGTAAATGATGGCTTCTGGTGGCATCCAGCGAATAGGAACGAGCGTTTTGGGTTGGACTCGGTAATAATCTGAAGCGTAGATTTCTCTTGAAAAGCCAAGATCAGAGATCTTGATGTGAAGTTGCTCACCAACCAGGATGTTTCTTGCCGCAAGGTCTTTGTGGACGTAAAAGTGGCTTGCGAGGTACTCCATCCCAGCTGCGACTTGAATGGCCAGGTGAAGGAAGTCTCCATGATCGAGGCTGGACTTGACGGTACCATCTTCGTCGCTACTGCAGCCCACATCTGAGTGGGGAGAGTGCATGATGAGGAACTCGTGGAGGTCTCCTTGGGCTAGGAACTCGAAGAGCATGCAGACGGGCTGCTCTTGGGTCACGACACCCAGGAGACAAACCACATTGGGATGATGAAGTTCTGCCAGGACAGATGCTTCCTGCTGGAAATCGCCCCAATGTTGTGCACTTGAGATGTCCTTCAGTGTTTTTATGGCAACTAGCTGAGCTTGCTCCATGCCTGGCAGGTACAGGTGGCCTTTGTAGATCTTACCAAAGTTGCTATCGCCCAACTCCTCCATGAAGCGCACTGCAGACAGAGGAAGTTCTTTGGCTTTGCTCTACAGAAGAGGAAGAAATAGAAGAGTAAAGGCCCGTTCACACCAAGCACGATAACTATAAAGATAACGATAAAGATATAGATCTAAAAATCGTTCTCAATATTAAAGAATAGCATAGATCACACCACAACAAAAATGATAACGATACAGAGGAACGACAATAATGTAGTAAATGATTTGTGATCAAGTAAAATTATTCAAAACAAATTATTTTGAGACATATGTAAATATATATAAGAAATACATGCAGAATACATTTTTAGTGTCAATAATTATGTATTTCTCAATTTAATTCCATTATTATATATACTTCATATCACATTATAATAATTATAATAATGGAATTATATATATATATATAATTATTTGGTTTATTTGTTATTAATCTCATGATCATGTACCATTTTTAGCAGAATATTTAAAATGAATGTACAATAAGCTAAACAAAATGAGTAGTTATGAGATTTGCGAAATATATAAGAAATACATGCAGAATACATTTTTAGTGTCAGTAATTATGTATTTCTCAATTTAATTCCATTATTATAATTATTATATATACTTCATATCACATTATAATAATTATAATAATGGAATTATATATATATATATAATTATTTGGTTTATTTGTTATTAATCTCATGATCATGTACCATTTTTAGCAGAATATTTAAAATGAATGTACAATAAGCTAAACAAAATGAGTAGTTATGAGATTTGCGAAAGATTACATTATTAAAGGAATCTTCATAATACCATTATTACTGTTATTAAAGCCTAACTTAAAGTAATATTTAGATAACGCCAAAGGCACTTTAAATAAATAGGCTTGAATAATTAAATATTTAATTGATAATTAAATTAAATTATTAAACAATTTGAGAGAAAAGGTATGGTATTAACATGTCATGCTTTTTTTGTTAGTTTTAATCCATGAAGAAACTTTTGTCAACTGTTGTAGCTTTATTTTTAATCTTTTACTGTGTTGCTGAAAAACAAGACATGTTACAACCTCAACCACTGACCACAGAAATGCATAAAACCTCTGTTTACTCTTAAAATATTCTCCCTGTCATGTACATTTATGTACTTCGCAGAAGCTGTCTTACCACTTACATGACATTCACTATGTCTCTGTATGGTTTTATCCACTATATGCATGATATAGCTGTAAGTAACATGCATAATGTTGTGTGACTGGTATGGACAAGACTCATAAAACAGGAAATAACAAGTTTGCCAAAAGGTCACAGCTACATTCAGCGGGGAAATGAACAGCATCAAATAAAAGATAGGAGTCTCTTTCTTTGAAAGAAGCAGATGTTTTGTGTTAGCGTCAACTCTGCCTGAGGCTAAACATGTCTCATCCCTGTTTTGGATATTACTTGAGTGAATGGTGACCTTTGTATGACCTTAGTCTGAACTTCGGCCTGCAGCTGAGACTGTAGATGAGAGGTCTCAATGTGTTACAGATACAAACGGCACTTCAGTGTGTCAAAAGGTCTGATTAATACTGGAACTAAATGGAACTACCATCATCTCATCAAAATATTTGTTTGTAAAAATGTCTCTCTAACCAGCAACCAAGATGAAAAAGCAAGGAAAAACCATTTTTAAGCGAAAATCTCATTTGAATCTGCTTTGAATGATCCAAATGGAATGATAACAATATGATTATATTTAGATTCCTCTCCAGGCCTGGAAGAGATTGCCTCCATATGCTCATCCTGTCGTTTTGCCTCCTGTTTGTGCGGTGCCCTTAACTCAGGAATGCACACTAATTCAAACGTTATGAGAATGCCCAGCGACTCCAATGGACAAAAAGCATAAGAATAAAAATCAAAACAGACACAACCGATAACAATGTTTGTTTGCACATATGCTCAATGTTGTTTTAGCACCTGATTCACTAGAGTAGGCCAATCAGAAACTACTTAAATGTTAAAGCTCATTTAGCACCTTTGGGTAATAAGAGAATAAGATGCAGGTTTTGTGCCAGAATCCGATGATACACTGTGGTGTAGATGCACTTTCATAGTTGGTTATGATCTGTTAGTGGTAACATCTTACCTTTGGTTTGTATGCCGTGAGCATGGACATCTCCACGTTCTGGCCGCGTACTGGTTTGGGCTGACGTGGGGCTGGTGGACGTGAGGCTTTCTGGTTGTTTCGGCACACACAGATGAAGAAGAACAGCAGGGCAATGGCCAGCGGTATAGCAACGCTTGGTACCAGGATGTACAGGATCCCCATACTGCTGCTGCCATGCTTGGGCAAATCTGTGGACAATCAATATACAAATATATGAACTAAAACCATACGAAAAGTATGTTATAACAACATTTGCACTCAAGCTAAGGCAGTGCTAATTAAAATATGTGTTTTGGAGTAAAATCTTTCACAGATTACCCAAGTTTGGTTATGTTCAGAACAGAATACAAGCACACTGCATACTAAAAATATACTGTACACTGCATACTCATTTTTAAAAATGGCATATTTTTTAATCATGCACTTGACCTTATTACATACATGTTTGATCAGAGAGTGGTGCACATTTATCATCTCAGAAAAATATTTCTGAGATGCATTTTTAACCAAATTTTGTGTAAGCATATTTTAACTTTTTGCAGTCCAATGAAATAATTCGTAAAAAAAAAAAAAAGTAAAATCATAGCTCATATTATTAAGTCATGTTTATTGCTCTCATCACACTTGAAATGGGAGGTCAAGTCAAGTGCACTGCATTGTTACTGTTGAATAAAACAAACAAAAAAATGTTTTTAGTAATTAAAATAAAGCCAAAATAAAACATATATTATTAGAAAACTTGAAAACTTAACTGTAAAAAATTAAATAAAAATTAGAAATGTTGCCTTGGCAAATAACTGTAATAAAAAACTAAACTAAAAGTTAATGAAGCTATATTAAATACAGTAAAAAAAAAAAAAAATCTAATTCAAAATCTTTAATAAATACTATATTAGTATAGGCCTTTAAATAATGCTAGTAGTGCATTGCATTGTGGGATACAGCATTTTAACAATTTCGGTAGATCTTACCGGTGTTCTGTGCATAAATAAACCCACATACAACACAAAGCATGCATACTGTATATTTTGGAAATATTATGAGTGTAGCATGCTATTCTGAACATAGCCTATGTCAATATGAGCAGTGCATCTCACCACATGGAGGAATGTCGCAGAGCTCCATGCGCACACGCTCATCTAGGGTGAAGCACCAGGGAGCTTCGTGCTTGTTGCCGGGGTTGCGACAGTAGGAATGTCCCCCGTTGAGCTCTGGGTAACGCATGGCCAGGAAGGTGTGGCTGTGGGGATACTGCGAGTTCCACGGCTGACACTGACGACCAGATTTAGTCACGCTGACTGTCCCGCGAAAATCCGAACCGCTGTTGTTATAACATTTGTGGCCTAAAATGAAAGAGAATTAATTTAGATTTTCAATAAAATATTATTTTGTATACTTTTTTAATAATGACACAAAATACATACTTTTATTTATGGTCTCAGCTATTGGGATGCCTATTCTCATACAGTTGGCAGCCTCGGGACTGTCTGAAGCGGCCAGGTCTTCACAGTTGGGCAGTTTGAGGCGCTTGAGGATGAGGGGGTTGGAGCGAGCGATGATGTACTCTGTCTTACACAGGTCGTTCTCCAGAATCTCACACTCGTCCTTGCACAAGTCCCGCGGTTTGTCCATGCCAGAGCTGCGGTCACATGTCGGGAAGGCAAAATGGCACAGGGACGGGATAGCAAACTGGGAGCAGCGATCTGACAGGTGATTGGAGGTGCCAATCATGGTGAACGCCGCTGAAAAAAACCCCAGAAACAAGCTTTCACACAGGGGTTTCCTCCAGATTTTAAAGCAAAAATAAGCCATTGTGGATTCCAACAAGCTACGTAACAGTCTAGCGAAATTATATCTTGCACACAAACAACAAAGAAACAAAGTTCTGGTGAATTGTTGTGGTTTCGCAAGAAGCTGTGTGATTCAAAAACAAATTGACTGCTCACTCTTGAGAAGAAACCACAGTGAATGCCTGTGTGATCTAAAATAGCTACAACTGGGAAATTTCTCAGAGAAAACAAAAAACAATTGAAATCTAAAGCCAGGCTTAGTGCAGTCCATATGTGTATGATACTAAGATTTAGCTTTAAAAAACCTTTAGACTCTCTCAGACTACATAACTTTTCTCTCTGGTTCTGGTATCAGATTGTAATACCATGGCAGATATATAAGATGGTCTTGAATAATTACTATATTCAGATAGCTTGGTATTTATATGGTTATTCAAAGAATACCATCATAAATGTCCATGTATGACCAACGTAAATGTCCAAAACACAGCCTAGCTGGCAAAAGCTCTCTTATCTAAGGCTTCAGCCTGATTTTATCAGCTGCATTTCAGTTGAAGTATGTACAAAACAGTTGTTTTGAAACGTCTTTTGTATGGACTGAGAAGCGAATGTTTTTTAAAGGGCTACCTGTGATTTGGGTCTCAATCTCGCCTTGCATCTGCAGCGAGTCCACGAAGATACTCCTGTTTCCTATAAAGCGAGCACATGCGATCCCTCTGTATGGCTGGCAGAAACCTTCCTCATCAAAATCATCTCTAAAAACAAAATAAACGTGAAATATGCATGTTTATTATGGTAAATTAGGTTAGCAGGCCTTAAAAACAATATACAGCCCAGATCCCCCTAGTACACTGGCTTTTATCACAGTTTCTTTTTTGGCATTCAGGGAATTCATGCAATGTTGTAATTTTAACTCCAGCACTAGAGGGCAGTAAGTGCCACTGTATCACACAAATACACACAGCTGCAACCCCACAGAACAAACTTGGCATATTTAATCAGCCTATACAATACAAATCCAACATATGAAAAATACATTCAAATGGAATATAATACAGACCTGGATATATAATTTAAAGCATTCAACATATCATAAAAAAAAAAAGACGTTTTGTTCTGTGTCTGCATGTCATACCCTGTAATTTAAACCATATGAACGGGTGGTTCTCGCAAACATGTATGTCATCCATATATACACTAAGAGAAAAAAAAGCTAAGTCTGAGTCACTGCTGGACTCCAGTGATTTGCAATGCGGTAAACCAAAACAATTTGACTTAATAACATGTAAGATAAAATGAGAGAAAACAATGATCAGGTTATGAACAGATCAAATAAACAGACAAAATGTGAAAAAATCTGAATCAATTAAAATGGTTGGTGGTGTTAATGAAAAGCAAGCGTGTGAAAGGTCAGAGGTCAAAAGTCAAAGCAGTGTCTGAGGAGCAAACGTCAATCCAGACATTAGCACTCAATCTGGACATGTTTGGAATAGAATACTAACTTTATTTATTTTTTAAATAGGTTTTAGTTACTCTATATACTGTATAGTGCCTGCTATTCTTTAAAATGCTAGAAGAATATGAATGATTCTATGGTCATATATATTATTATATAAATGTTTTAAACAGTAGTACATAATATTTTTGCGAAATGACTTAATGCTGCAGTACCGTTCAGCTATCAGCTTGGAAATAAAATAAAATAGCCTTTTATAAATTCTTATGTAAATGTATGTGTGTCAGTTAGTCTATATATACATTCAACACTGTTCAAACACTGGGGTTGGTAAGATATTTGAATGTTTTTGAAAGAAGACTTTTAATGTCATCAGTATCACATGATTCTTCAGAAATCACTCTAATATGCTGATTTGGTGCTCAATACACTTTTTTAATTATCACTGATGAAAACAGCTTTTCTGCTTTATATTTGTTGTGGAAACCTTGATGCATTTTTTAGGATTCTTTGATGAATAGAAAGAACATCATTAATTTAAAATAGATTTTGTAATAATGTTCACTTTCACTTTTGATCTATTTAATGCATCCTTGCTGAATAAAAGCCTAAAAATCTCACTGACCCCAAACTTTTGAATGGTAGTGTATATATTTAAGTTATACAATGGAATATATCAAAGTACCATGGCATTACAATCTGACAGCATCCCCATGCAAACCCTACAGTTCTGATTTGTAAGGGCAAAACAGTTTAGTAAAAGATTTGTCCTGTCAAGTATTATGTAAAACAGCTCCATCTAAAATTGAGGCCAGCACAAGAATCCGGCACAGTGACAGACACTGGAAAAGTTTCACAGCTCTCCAGCATGTGCGTCACAGGAGAATGCATTGGTAACTGTGGCCACCCACAGAAAGCTAAATGACAAGGAGGAACAGTTGTTGTGGAGAACTATAACCCATTTTGCATAACATTGTTTTATTTTTTTTAACTTTCTCTTTCCCTTACATTCTCTCCTGCTGTCTTAGACACACACATATACATGAACACACTCCAGTTCATCAGCGTGTGTTTGTGTTTCTTACGAAGCGCGTGGTTTGTCTAAACAGAAGGAAGTCCAGGGCATTTCTTTACTCATCAGTGCCAACTGGAAGCGAGTCATAATTAAAGCTAAAGTGTGAGGAGCAACACAAACTGTGTTAATTGACCTGTGACAGTGAGAGAACAAGAGAAAGTTCTGTTTTAGCACACACAAAACATGATATGCTTTTCAACATGCTCTTCAGATCCAGCACATTTTGGAATTCCTGCAGGATCCTCGAACTCTCCTGTTAAATCTATTGAGTCGAGACAGGAAGGAGTGAGGAGTCTAAAAATGCTCCCATGTGAGCTGAGTAGCAGAGAAATCATCCTGAGAGAGATGCACATTAAACATTACCAAGATGGATGTTTAATTCTTCAGGGTGTCCTATTCTTGAAAAGTGTGTAGCAAAAGCCATCCACAAACAATTATACAAAGGTGCCCAACATTTTGAGACCACAGAGGAAAGTATAATTTATTATTTATTAATTTATATATTAAACATTTTGTACTAAACTGTATTGACTGATTTATTTATATAGGAAAATTCAACTTGAATTTTGACGTTTCTTATTATTTGGCATTTCCCTTTTGCTTTATTGACAGCAGCAATTAAGCAGACATTTTTATGTAAGCCCATTTCCACCATGTAAGAAAAAAAGTCATGCTTTAGAAAATCATAATTTTGATATAGAAAGTCATAATTATTACACTAAAAATCTAAATTACAAGATAGTAAGTCGTAATTATGACACAAAAAGTCAAACATTTATGACAGTTTGAGATAATAATTCATTTTTATTCATGATATGAAATGCTGAAATTGTGAGATACTCAGAGAGTCATAAGTATGATATTAAAAATTTACTTTTTATTATGACTTTTATGTCATATGTTCGACTTTTTATCTGACAATTATGACTTGGCATCTCATAATTTTGACTTTTTGTGTCATAATTATTTTTTACCAAAGCATTTTTGAAATTATGTGGGGGAAATGGACCTCCACAGATATGAACTCCACAAGATATGATTTGAAGATGTTAAATCAAAGAAGAAGAAAAAAATCCAAACAACAAGAGAAGATCTTTGCCTGTTATCCTGGTCGGGAACTCAGCTATTTCACCATCAAACCTCAGTTTGATGCATGTTAAAGGGGTCATATGATGCTACATGCACTTTTACAAGTTGTTTGAACTGAAATGTGTGTTGGCAGTGTGCACACAACCACCCTATAATGATAAAAATCCACCCAGTGGTTTTTTTTAATCTACTAAAATATTTACCCCTTTTTCAAATCGAGCCGATCTCAGATGCCTGTCTGTGTGACGTCACACAGACAG